TGCCTTCCCTCTGAGGTTTGAAGTTCTTTATAAATTCTTTCTTACCTCCTTGAAGAATGTTGCAGGTGCCATTTCAGATCCATCCAGTGTTCGCAAAAGGAACATCGGCCAAGATAATGTACTCATCTTGTATCCTATTTTAAAAATTAAATCATGTATCATGAAAAAGCCTTCCTATGATATTACAGCAAGTTGGTATTAAAAATAGTATTCATTTACTATTCTCCAGAGAATAATTTTCTTATCGAGGAACTCAGGAAATGGGTCAGAAGAACAGCTACACTCTCCAATTGGTGCTACTATAGCCACTGTATTATTTGGCAACAATGCTACAGTGGAGTAGAAACTCTCATTTTAGAGAAACCAGTAGCTGGAGATCATCAACATCCATGTATATCTTGGGAATGGGCCATTATACTTGGGTAATCCAAGCCAGAACCCAGGAGAGCTACCATTTCTTACCAACAGCCTCACAAGGAGGGCAAAGGCCGCAAAAGACTTCCAGGCCCTCTTTTTCCCCTGCTTTATTTCCTTTCAGAAAAAGACAGTTTTCTGTCAAACTCTGTAAATGCACACTAACACAGTGCATTTCATTTTATGTAAATTTCACCTTAAAAAGCTGCATAAACACAACTCTAATTAATGATATGCATGCTAAAGTATTCAGGAGAAATGTAATGATGTCAATTACTCTCAAATGTATTTTAAAATAAGATGGATTGATAAATTCATAGAAGGGCAGATAGAAAGATGAGTGATAAAGCAAGTATAATAAAATGATAATGATAGAACCTAGGTAATGGGTAGGTGGGTATTCATTATAAAATTATTTCACCTTGTATGTTTGAAATTTTTTCATACAATATGTTAGAGAAAAATACAGCTCTCACTTTAGCAATCCTTACACACACTACATAAACATGATCTTCTCTTAGAATATGTATTAGTTGCTATCAAAATAGGTATATTTTCCAGAGATCTTATAATTAATGGTGACTATCACAGCATCTGGAAACAGGGATCTGCTGGTTTTACTGCAATCTGTTTCAGGCAGCACTTGCCTGCCTTGATATCAGAATTGGAGAGAACTTGTCATGCATTCCTGATGATTACATGCAGTAAGATAGGGAGGCATACGAATCACTGGCAACAGGTCTATCAATAGTATAAAACCTACAAAAATGTTCAGACAGAAAATCATCCCATAACAACCCTGTACCAAAACCCCCTAATATAATAAGGGAAATAATTGTTGTTAGGAAAAATGGGGGAGGGGAGATTTATTACCTACTCCCTCAATATTATTAGTGATATCTAATAAAGTTATCCACAGCATATATTTTCCACACTGTGGTCAGAATATTGCATAAGAATCATTCACTATTCCTTATGCCTTTCTCTTACCCCTTACCTTATCTTATTGCATCATATACCATAATTTTTCTAAATTTAACATTTTTCTAAATTCTGTAACTCCCTGAAGTCAAACATAGATTAAAAGGGTAAAATATAAAGTGCATAGAAAATTCAAACACAGATAAAACTAATCTATGATGTCAGGAAGTCTATGCAGTGGTTATCTTTGGGAAAGGGGTAGTTATGACTGGAGATCAGCAGGAATGGGGCTTCTGGGGTCCTGATAATGTTCACGCATCTTGATTTGGATGGTAGTTATACAGGTGTGTTCATTTATAAGCTGTACACCTATGATTTATACACCTTCTGTTTGTATGTTAAAACTTTAAAGTATCTTTTAAATAATAACTTTTAAGATTTAAATAAATAAACCCATTTTAAAAAGGAAAATTAAATAAGTTGTGTTATATTAAAATGGAAACTAAGCTATTCAAAAGTGCCTAATGAGCAAATTGGCAAAAACTGTATTTTTATATGTAGTGTGAAAATACACACTAATTAGCATGTGTTGTTATGTATTTCATATTTTTAGTTAACAAATTCTAAATGTAATTTGAAAAATAACCAATCATAATTTTGGCTATGTGTTTGAAATGCTGGCAATCACAATAACTATATTTCTTTTAAACAAAATAAGAAACATATTATCATATTATAAACAGAAATAAAATCCAAACAGGAAAGCACTAAGCCTCAGGTTTACACACCTCTTACAGAATTCTGTATGATTCCAGAAATGTTATAAAAGTAAACAATAAAAAATATGAATGATATGAAGGAAAAAAGGGAAAAAAGCAGAAAACACACACACCCTTAACCATCTATTAACTTAATAGTTATTATTAATATATTAAATTTTTATTCTCAGGGAATTTTTCACCAGTAGGAGACAAAAAAAATTCCATTTTCTTATTGTGCTTTAAAATAAGGAATTTTCCTTTTCAGCACTGTAAAGAACAAAAACCAAAACCCACCATTCATTCAGAATACAAAGTGATACATGAAATCACTTATTTTCTATAGAATATCATGGTACACCTAAGTGGTAAAAGAAAAAGTTTGCTCAAAATTAGTCATACAGTTTTTACGTTTTAAAAACTTGGTCAAAATGGAGAACTTGGAACTTAAAAACCTTTACTGGTAAGTTCCATCCATCTCCTCCTTTTCAAAGACCTAAAGCTACTCACTCCTTCCTCTCTCACTGAGATTTCTTCCCACTATAGATGAAATGGAATTCCCAAATTTGCATCTAGAACCTGGATGTGGAATCCCCTATGCTCATCCCCATACCAAAAATACTGAATGGCCCAGTGGACAATATTAAGGGAGGAAGTGACTTGCTATCAAATGCTGTAAACTACTCCCTCAGAAGGGCTTCTGAATCTGCATGTGTAATCTAGTAGAGCAGCTTTTGACATTTCAACTTTAAAGACAGAACGAGTCTTTCCCTGGAGTGGGAAACCTTTAGCACACATAAACCAAATGTGTACTTAGTGAAACTCTCTAACATTATAGTACTGATGAGTTCCTCTCTCATACATTTTCCACAGTAACCACCTGACCACCTATTTGTAAGAATGTCTAGGAGAACAGATTTTTTAAAGGCCATTAAAACTATTTCTGAATATTACATTAGTAAGAATATGTTATTTTAAAAACTGTTTATCCTTACCCAGTGGAGGCTGAAGTAAGTCCCCTTGCTGTTCACATGTGCCAACGGGTTGTATGTCTGCAGAATCAACAAGTCTCCAGAAATCATTTTTATCATCACTACCATCAAGGCGTAAACGTAACCTGGCACCAGTAACTCCGATAATCGTGGCAATACATGTTGAAGTCATATTGCGAGGGTCATGCGCTTCCAGTTTCATGCCAACTTTGAATTCATTAGTTGGTGGGACCTTAGACTATACACACACACACACACACACACACACAAACACAATTTTGTTAAAGTGCATCAACTATAAGAAAAACAAATAGTCAGTTATGTTACCAGAATACTTGAGGAGCATTTTAAGTAATGGTCACAGCAGATGGTGAACAAAGTTAAGAACTTTAAGGGTCAAGAAAAAGATCTTCAAACCCTCCCCTTGGCTTGATGTGCAGCATAAAAACACTGCCAACTGCTGGTTTTACTCATTTTCCCACTTCCAGGCAACCTAAATGTGGCCTTTAAAATGCACCCTGTGCCCTAACCGATTTGGCTCAGTGGATAGAGCGTTGGCCTGTGGGTCCCAGGTTTGATTCTGGTCAAGGGCATGTACCTTAGTTGCGGGCACATCCCCAGTGGGGGGTGTACAGGAGGCAGTTGATCGATGTTTCTCTCTCATCAATGTTTCTAACTCTCTATCCCTCTCCTATCCCCTCTGTGAAAAATCAATAAAATATATTTAAAAATAAATAAAATGCACACTGAGTGGCTTTCTAAAATAATAATCTGATTAGGCCACTCCCCTTGAAATAAGCCAACTGGTAGCTCACCACTGCTTAAGATAAAAGTCCAAGTACTCATTACAGTTTAAAAGCCCCCACAACTTTAACCTCATTCCTACACTATTGCCTCTACCCCACTCTGTGCTTCAGCCATGCCATCCCTCACACTCAGGTTCCCTTACATCCATGTGCCTTTGTTTTAGATGTTCTATCTGGAATATTCTTCCCTTCATTCCAACCAGCTCAGATAGCACCTCTTTTGTGAGCCCTCCCACTATAGAGTAATCACACTTCTCATAATTAATTATTTACATGTCTATCTTTCCCTCCAGATGGGCAATCATAAGGGCTTCATATATCTGACACTGAAGAAATTCTTAATGAATGAATGCAAAGAGACCAGCTGGCTCTTAAATGGCACTACCACAATCCCACCATCTCCTCACACCACCTGAACCTAACACTCACACAGACACCTTTCAACAAGTTAATAGTTTACATTAATATATTCAACATCTACAGAATTTTAGCATACCTGTCTGAAACACTCTACAGGAGCACTTAAAGATCCAGTCTCTTTCAAGTAAGTTTCCCACTGGAAATCATCTGGAAATAAATATACAAAATATTTCTTAATATATGCAATATGTATACTAATTTTCAAGAATAAAATGGGTTTTGGTTCCATATCTCTTCAAAAAATATTTCCTAAGTAAGAGCAGATTCAAACTTCCTGATCTACATTTGATTACCAGTATAGAAATAAAAAATAAGACAACTTCATGGTAATAATGGCTCTGGTACAAATTACAAGTCAGATCTTCTCAATGTAATGAGGACTACAGCACAGTGATTCTAAAAATGTGGATTCTATAAACAACTTAAGGATGTTTTATAGAGTAATAGCATATTCTACTCATTTGTCTCTAATATAAATTTATTCAAGATGTGTTTTTACCATTTCATCCTATTAATGTGATGGTGCTTTGTTTTTCAAGGGAAGCTAAAGGTGTTTAGGTGTGTGTTATAGCAGAATTTTATGGAAAGAAAAAATCCGAGAATCAGAGTTGTTTCTCACTTGACTAGTTGATCTCCATCCAGGTGTCAAGAATATGGCAGAACAAAGCAGTAAACCAGTCATCAGTACAGTCACTGATATAGATTATTTTAATGATCTACATTTTTTACACACTCTTGCTGTCCTTTCTCTCACTTAGTCTTCATTATATATTATAATGCTAGAGGAAAAGGTCAGAAAGCAGTACTCTGCCTGGCCTGAACACTTCAATTCACTGTGCCAGTCAGATGCCAAAGACACTGAAAGAAAAACTTGATAGCTGTATTAATTCATACAAAGTTTAATTCTCATCAACCATCAGGTTTTTCTGTACTCTTTTAATTTTTTCACTATAAAAATATTGGTTTTGAGCCTGGCCGGTGTGGCTCTATGGTTGAGTGTTGACCTATGAACCTGGAGGTCATTGTTCGATTCCCAGTCAGGGCAGACGCCTGATTGTGGGCTCAATCACCAGTGTGGGGCATGCAGGAGGTAGCTGACCAATGATTCTCATCACCGATGTTTCTCTCTCTTCCTCTCCCTTCCTCTCTGAAATCAGCACAAACATATTTTTTAAAAATGTTGGTTTTGACATTTCCCTTTCCTTGGGGAATTTACATTACTAACCTCTTATATATCCTTTAAAGGATATAACACACTGAAACACACACACACAAAGTGCTGACAAATGATGAACAGCCAGCTTTTCAGAAAATACAAACAAACAAAAACCTGACTGGTAGTGTTTGCAGTCTTCTGTGATTTAACTACTACCACCATACCTGATTGCAAGGTGCCAAGGAGAAGTCACTAACCACAAAGTTGGAAAGAGATGTGTGCAAATGGCTCTCCCAAGCTGGTGTGAACCAGCTTTAGCATGCCATTGATATATGAGTGTGCATTTATACGTGTATGTACAAATACTATGTCATACTTAACACTGTACACCCTGCTTTTTAAACTTAACAATAAATTTAAGAGATTATTCCATTAAAAAATAATACTGTGTTTAAGTCCACTTTAGATGATGTGAAGTGAATGTTACCACACAGCTGAAAGGTATACAGCAGAAATGTTGAGACTATGGGCTCTGGAGTCAAACCTGCCTTCTTCCAGTCAAGCTCTGCCTATTTCTAGCTATGTGACCCTGAGCAAGTCATTTCACTTTCTCAGCCTCAGTTCCTTCTTTTATAAAATGGGGAATGTAGTAAATATGGTACAAGGTATTTTGAGAATTAAGTGAAGTAGCATACATGTAAGTCACTCAATAAATAGTATGTTATTATTATAAAATTAAATGTCTATATTGTCATTTAATACTGGATAGCTTTTTCATAAGTGAAAACTAAGATCCATGGCTCCAAAATTAAACTGGCCAGGATATTTCAGTGACCTCCTAAACACTAACTAAACAATCAGGAGACCCAAGATTCTAACTGAAGCTCTACCAACATATGGTATTGGAGAGGATTTTTTTAAAGACAAAACAAAACATGAATTGGGGGTGGGAGTATCTGGCTATGGTATCGTTAAGGAGGTCACTGAAATATCCTGATCAATTTAATTTAGATTTGACACATCTATAATACCACAGCTGGAATTCCTGACCAGGAGTCAAAATAGTCAGAACGTCTTAGCTAAGCCTGAGGTCCCAGTCTGCCTCTACATCTTATCCTCATTGACAAACTGGGGTAGGGTGGGAGGGTAGATTCTCTCTCAGAAAAGAAGCCTAGGAACTGATAGGTTTGTTCAAGAGACAGGTGTACATTGTGCTCAGAGTACTTTGTGCTCTGATTATTATTTGCACATGCCTATGATTCCTTCTTGTTTGACTTGTACTCTATTTTAGTTCATTATTTGTCCAAATACCAAACTGAACATAATCTATGTGAGCCCTCTGGTCTTCTCCAGAGTAAATCAGAATCATAATGTCTTCTAGTGTGAGGCTGGGGTTCAGAGTCTAATAAAGATGGGCAAAATATCTGGAGCTAGAAGCTTCTCAGCTAAATGATCACTGCACCACTATTTCACAGCACTGATCACAACTGAAGTTGTTTATTTAATGTCTAGCTTTCCTCCTAAACTGAAAAAAGGCAGGAATCATGTCTGTTTCATTATTCACTGGATTCCCATAAAAGGTAGCCAGTATGTGTCAGACACTGTTCTAGGTACTGGAGATAGTGATTAATAAAACTGACAAAAATTCTGGCTCTCTCAGAGCTTAACTTCTAGCAGTCACTCACTGATTTCTAAAACAATATGTTAAGCTCAGGACCCATGGTTCCTTCTTGTTTGACTTGTACTCTATTCTAGTCCATTATTTGTCCAAATTTCTAAAATAAGATGTTAAAATCAGGGCCCTAAAAATATCTGCAGATGTCTATCAATTTGATCAAGTAATCTCATTTTTTAAATCAGAAGTTTGCGAATTTTGAAAAGTTACTAGCTTCAACCTTCAAGAATATATTTTTATGAAATTTTCAGAATAGCCACATCTATAGAGACAACAAGTAGATAAGCGGTTGCGTAGAGCTGGGGAGGGGAGAGGCATTAGGAGAAAATGTGGAGTGATTGCTAACTGGGTGCAGAATTTCTTTGTAGGGTGATAAAAATGTTCTAAAATTTATTGTGATGATGGTTACACAACTCTGTAAATATATTGAGAACCAATGAATTGTATACTTTAAATGGGCGAATTGTTTACATCTCAACAATGTAAGTTACATCTCAACAAAACTGTTATATTTAAAAAACAGATGGAATTTGTAGGGATAAAGAACATTCTAACCTAATGGCCTCCATTTCTTTGGAGAGTTTTAGAGGTTGGAAAGAAGAGCTGAAGGACAAATAAGGCCAATGGGAAAAATAAGGAGGCACTGGGGGCCCAGCATTGAGAGAGAATGATTCCATGGGGATTACCTCTATAGGCAACCTTCCTGTGAGAACAGAAAGCCATATATGAAGTACTACAAGAGTGGGGCTGGCAGGGCAGGTCCAACAGAAAGACAAAGGAAAGGGAAAGAGGTTCGTCTAGTAATATCTCATAATAAGTTTGTCACTTTTTTATTCGGCCTTTTGTGTTCATATGACTTATTTTCTCATTTTCCTTAAGAGCAGGTGCAACAAGTCAGATGTACCTCCAGTGTCTCTGGCACAGTGCTATACACATGCTGTTTACAATAAGAAATCAATTGAGTGTTAATAAATAAAATTAACATCTACTGAACATGTACAATATACCTAGGAATTATACTAGGTACTTTACATTCATTTTTTAAATTTAAATTCCAATAACCCCATGAGGTAAGTAGTAGTATCCATGTGCTACTGAGAAAAAAAATAGACAAAGAATGTTGAATAATTTGCCCAATGTCACGAGGCCAATAAAGACTGAGGCCAGCCCTGGCCCGGTGGCTCAGTTGATTGGAGCATCATCCCATACACCAAAAGGTTGAGGGTTCAATTCCCAGTCAGGGCACATACCTCGCTTGCAGATTCAATCTCCAATCAGGTCACATACGGGAGGCAATCAATCGATGTTTCTCTCATCAATCGATGTTTCTCTCTTTCTCTCTCTCTCTCTTCCTCCCTCTAAAATCAATAAAAACATATCCTCAGATGAGGATTTAAAAACAAAAAAAGGATGAGGCCAGGATTTCTAGAAGAGGTCTGTCTGACCTATCAATGCCTAAGCTTTTACCTACTTGATTTATCAACTTTCTTTTGACCATCAAAAACGAACTTTCACATTGATTCTAATGTTAGGTTTTTTATTCATAATCAAGTTATTTTAAAATTGGTAATACATGGTAATTAATAACTAGGTATCTTTAATTTTTCAAAATTTGCATTGAAACACATGATTATTTTTTTATGTAATGCCATACCAATTTATCTCTAAGTAAAACCAAAGTAAAATTTTCAAAATAAAAATTATTTCTTGACCTTTCTTATCACTTAGATTTTATATTTACAGGAGTTTGCTGTACAGAGACTATATAAAAGCAATAAGAGTTCATATTAACACTGACTGAGGAAAAAATATGTTGCACTGAAGTACTTTAAAACCTAACACCTTCTGTAGATGTGTCCGATTGAGAACTTTTCTCTTGACTCTCCTTCTTCACATTCATTGAATCTAAAAAAAAATAAATAAAATAGTAAGCAATACCTAAAGACTATAGCAATAGTCTGAAAGAACACTTAGAAAAACTATAAAACTATTTTCTGATAGGAACCAGTTTTAATTTTATAATTAATGTTCTCATTTTTTGCACAGGACTTCATTTTCTCACATGCTGTGTACCTTAAAATTTGCTCATTTATTTTGTTTCATTTTATGCCTCACTCAAATGTAAGCTCCGAAAGTGCAGGGATTTATTTAATTTTGTCTGTTTTATTCACTGCTATAGTCTCAGTGCCTAGAATAGGACCTGGTATGCAATAACACCCTCAAGGATTTGAAAAATGAATGAATAAATAAACCAAAACAAGTTGAGCTGATCCTTACAATATTCAAATTAATGTGTCCTAGAAATAAAGTGGATGTTTTTGACAGTTGAAAACATAACAAGAAAGCTAGAATGTAATATAATTCAATAGGTTAGGCAGAGTTTTGTGCCAAACTGAGGAGCTCAAACAGTGCTGGAACTTATGACTTCACCAAATCTAAGATATTATATTATTTTGTCCACATATATTACAGTATATGTCTTAAAGATATATAATTTTAAAATTCTATCATTATATTATTATTATGCTGAAAATTCAAGCATAATTCATTAATATCAAATAAGAAGTCAATGTTCATATTTCCCCAATAGTCTTAATTATTTTAAATGTGTCTGTTTGAACCAGGACATGAATAAAGTAGATGGAATGCTTTCTATTTAAATAATTTGGCTAGTAAAAAGAAAGTACGTATTTATATTTACTAAATAGTTCTCCTTAAGATTTTCTAATAAGAAAGTAAAACTAAAGGCATGATTCCTGCTCTAGAGAAGCTAAAATCTAGTTACAGAGACTACACTAAACTAATGCACTTGATAAAATTGTGAACAGCAGAGGATAACATTCAGTATTCAGCCAGAGAAAAAGTCATGGGAGACAAAGGACTTGAACTGGGTCTTGAAGGAAAAACAGGATTTAGGATAGCAAAGGTGTGAAGTATGTATTATGGAAAAGAAAGCACAACTCAAAACAGAGTGCAAATGAGTGTGGCATATTCACAGTACAGTGAGCAGCCTTCTCATTAAAGTAAGTCAGGATGAAGTATTTTTTAATCTCTCATATTCGAGTTAGAAGATTTAGATTTTGATTTTAGCATTGTCACAGATTGTTGTATGACCTGTTCACTTAACCTCCCTCAGTGTCAGTTTTCTCATTTATAAAATTCAGAAGAGATAACAAAATTATTGTTAATAGCTCTTCAGTTCTAAAATTCCAATTCTAAGCACCTAACATCTCGTTTAACTTTTATTTTTAAAAAGATTTTACAAACGTTCAGTCTACCAGAAGATACTCATTCCAAATGAATAACAAACAAATATTATCATTTTTAGGTAAGTAAATTTTACCTTTACCGGCTGTTCGCCCCATAGTATCCCTTTCTGGTGTTCTTTCCTACAAGGAGAAAAATCAATTAATACCTTTTAGCATACTTCTAAAGGGTCATATTATTATTAGAAACTGGTTATAGAGTTAGTAGTTGCTAAAGGCGTGGGAACAGGGACTAGGGAGTGATTGCTAACAGGTATGGCTGTGGGTAAGGGATTTCTTTTTTGAGATGATGGAATGTTTTAGAATTAGATAGTGGTGATGGATACACTGAACTGTGCACTTTAAAAGGGTGGATTTTATTGTTAAATAATTTTTAAAAGCAGATGGTAAGTTAGTAGAGTTGGGATTCAAACTGAGGCCTACCCCAAAAACCCACTTATGCGTATTTTATGGAGAGGTGAAACAATCATGACTGTGTTGGTGAAACTTGTAAGAACTGCAAGCAAGAGTCAAGTTTAACAAGATAATTACTTGTTAGAAGGCATGTGTATTTTGAAGCCACTAATTCATTAATCCAAACTTTTCCTGCATGTCCTCAATATGACATTTACTCTACAACAAAGATAAATAAAACACTGTCCTTGCTCTCCAACAGGTCCACCTAGTCAGAAATAAGCATATGAACAAAACACATGATTTTATTTACAGATATTTATTTACAGACTCTGGGCATAATCACATTTATCAAGGGTTTATGCACACAAGAATAAAAAAGGCAAGGCCTCTGTCCTCTGGGAGTTCCCCTGCAGGGCTTCCCAGGCTGTTTCTACCCTACATGTCTACCCAACAGCAGGTATCAAAACAAGTCTTATATAATACAAGCTATTTACCTGTTCACCTCTCCTCACAGGTTATAAAGTAATTGAGAACACAGGCCACACATTACTCTCCCTTGTAGCTCTCTCCCAAAGCTAGTACAAAGCATTACACTTAAAAGTACTCAAATGTTCACTAATAGTAACTAATAGTGACTAAAATTCAATGTTAAGTGCATATATAGGTTTGAATAGAATTATATGAGTAAAAGATTTCTTAAGTATGGAGAGAAACACAGGACACAAGCTAGCCTGTGAATAAGACTTACCTGGGATGGTAAAGATGGTGGTGTATATACTAACTGGAAGGGGGAAGGGGGAAGAGAGATGGTATCTTATAAATATCTCCTGTGTCATATAATCCTATATGTATAAAATTGTGTGTAAGTTTGCATAATGTAATACAAAACTATTTTGGTGATCCTTATTTTTTGCACCACAGGTGGTGAGATTTTACATGACCTTTATTATCTTCTTTATATTTTTATGTATTATTTGAACTCTTTATAATGGTATCTATTAAATAATCACAGAAAGTTATTTTCAAGGGGGAAGGGAGTGCCCTGAAAGTTTAATAATCCCTGTATGTTCTTATATTATTAAGAAGCTCTATATATGCAAAGCTGGTCTATCACACTTAACAAATTATACATATCCTTAAAGAAAAAAATTATACTGTGATAATTACTGGTGACTATATCAATTACATATAAATATTATTTCAAGTGCTTAAAGCCGTTACAAGTTACTTCATCTCTCTGAGTCTTGGTTTTCCCATATATAAATGAAAACTAATACCATCCAAACTTTATAATATAGTCATGAAAATTAAAGCAAGATAGTATATAGGTAAAGCAACTACCATAGGTGCTGAATAAGTGGAAACTCAAAGATTGTTTTCTATCATACCCCATCTGCCCTAATTAAAACTCCCTGAGAAGAGTAAGTTTCAGCATTAGCCCTTAAATTATGTTGTAAAATGAAACTCCATTCCTACTTTGATTCCTGACCATTACTTACTTTATTTAAAATGTTTTTATTGATTTCAGAGAGGAAAGGAGAGAGAGAGAGATAGAAACATCAGTGATGAGAGAGAATCATTGATTGGCTGCCTCCTGCATGCCCCCTATTGGGGATCGAGCCTCCAACACATGCATGTGCCCTTGGCTGGAATCGAACCTGGGACCTTTCAGTCTGCAGGCCAACGCTCTACAAACTGAGCCAAACCAGCTAGGGCTAATTACTTTTTTAAGTATGGACCAAAAAGATGTTTAAAGAAATAAATGCTTCAAATATATGGTAACAGAAGTAAACTAAATTTTGGGTGGTGAGCACACCATTGAGTATATAGACATTGTACTATAATGTTGTACACTTGAAATTTATGTAATATTATTAACCAATGTTACCCCAATACATTTAGATGAATAGATCTAAAAAAAAAAAAAGTGGGGCATTTACACATGGAATACTATACAGCTGTAAAAAAGAAGGCCCTCTTACCTTTTGAGATAAGATGGATGGATCTGGAGATGATTATCTAAGCAAAAAAGCTAGTCAGAGAAAGACAAATATCACATGATCTCACTTATATGTGGAATCTAATGAACACAATAAAATAGGACCAGAGTATGAAAACATGGAACAGACTGATGAATCTCAGAGGGAAGGGGGGAGAGTGGGCAGGAAACAATTAACAAAAGAATTTATATGTATATATGCATTGTCCATGGACACAGATAATAGGGTGATGAAAGCCTTGGATGGGGTGGGAACTGGGAGGTGGGGGGCAAGAGGTAAAAAGCGGGCGGGGGAGAGATATCTGTAATCTCTCAACAAAGAAAGATTTAAAAAAACAGAAATGCTCAACAAAGAAAGATTTAAAAAAACAGAAATGCTAAGTTTAAGTATATATATATATATATTTATATATATATATATATATCCCAGACATGTAGTTACCAAAGAAAGCAACCGCCATCTACTAACCAGCATTACCAGAAAATTTATGTATTCTAGCAAAAGCCCAAAGAAACTTGTTATCACCCTGTGACTTTGAGGTATAATTATTCACGAATATAATTCTTTTGGGGTTGGTGAGTACTGAAAATAGATTTTGGCCTTTTGTGAACCAAAGAAGCCTTTGTGAATCCCTAGTAACTAGAATGGTTTTTTTTTCTTCTTTTTTACATATTCATCACCCCCTAAAAGTCAAAATACAGTTAAGTAAAACAGGGGGGGGGATCTTCTGTAATCCCACCATTAAACAGTAATACCTGCTGTTAACCATCTAGTATATATCCTTTCAATTTTTAAAAATCACATATATAAATCCATATATAATACACATTTAAACCACTCTTTTTTTGTTGTTAACTCTCACCTGAGGATATTTTTTTCCCACTGATTTTTGGTTTTGTGTGTGTGTGTGTGTTTTTAGAGAGAGTGGGAGAGAAACATTGATTAGTTGCCTCCCTCACACTCCCCAACCAGGGGCAGGGATGGAACTTGCAACCCAGGCACATGCCCCTAACCAGTAATCAAACCCTCAACCTCTCCTCCTTTTGGTGTGAGAGCTGACACTCTAATCACTTAGGAACACCAGCCAGGGAGAACTACTCAAATATAAATTTTCCATATTTCATATGTCATAATCTTCAAATGAAATTCTGCCTATATTATAAATTTATAAAGCCAACATTTCTAGCTAAAATGAGAATTGGAAAATAATAAATGCCTTTTTAAAAGTTCGTGTAAAGTGAAGCCCCAGAGGAAACTGTAGAAAAGCTTAACTTTGTTCTCAACATACTTTGAGCTGTTTCAGCACTTTAAGTCTCAAATAAAGCCCCCAGAATAATGTTCAATGTTACATAGCAGAGAAATTTTTGGTGAAAAAAAAATTAAAAGCTTTGTTTTGTTTTTACCACCATAAAGGGAAGTTGCTTCGCTAAATACATATAAGAAGCAACTTCACTGCATTTAAAAAATAAGCACTCAAATATAAATTCTGGTAAGCCCCCCAAAAGGTCTTAGGTTAGTACTCTTTTATAATGCCTGACATTTAAATTTCCTTTACCAAAAGGGCAGTTACAGTAAATCTAGCAAGCTTTAACCAAGCATAGATAACCTGGAATCTTTTACCAAAAAAACATTTGTTCTGCTTACTGTATCTTGTCATAGATTTAAGAGCTAAAAATGCTTTATCCATGGGTTATGCATATATGCATATAAATTTTTTTGTTAATATCTTCCCGCTTCCCCTTCCCCCTTCCCTCTGAGATTCCTCAGTCAATAGAGCAGTGAAGGCCTGGGGGATCAGGAGTGGGTGAAGGGGGTTAATGGAGTGGGGAGAGAAGGAGACATCTGTAACACTTTCAACAACAAAGATAAATTTTTTAATGGTTTGAAAAGTCATGCATTGTTTTAAACCATTTTCTCAATACAATTAAACAATGTAAACAGTAAATTAATAGTGGAACTATTAAACCTAAAATTCCTAGTTGCACCTATCTGATTCTAGAGAAAATTCTAGTGTTTTTTTTAAGAAAGACCGTTTTAAAGGACTATTAGCAAGTTAATGAGTCTATAATTCTAAGAATACAGAATCCTTCCATTATTTGCTTGTTTGAGGTTTTTGTTTTTCCTTCCCTTTTTTGTTTTGTTTTGAAAATAAGGTAATATACCTTGAGTCTCTAATTAGAGACTACTACCTGAAGAGTCAATAAGGATGACAAGAACAGAAACTAAAACAAGTTTGACAAGCAAGAAATTTTCCAGGGCCCTTTGTATTTCAGATGTTATAAAATAGATGAAATTACAGCAAATCAACCTGAGAGAACATAAAAATAAACTAAACGCAGATGTTGAGCTGAAAAAGAAATAAATGTATTCCCATACTAACAGCAAGGTTTGCTGCTACATTTCTCAGACAGAAGTCCCATAAGTGGGAATAATGTCCAAACTTAAATATTAAGTATTAGACTTATTCACTGAGCCTCCCATTTTGCAGATATTAAAACCCACATATTTGAAAAAGTAAAGTGACCTTAAATTGAAATAACATCAATTTTTATTGTTGTAGAAAAGACTCTCGACTATATTATATATACCAGACTAATCGTTTCCTGATGATCACCAGGGTTTTGGTAATAAATATGATAACACCTATAATACAAAGAGTTGCTGTGATACCTCACTTTCTGCAATCTGGCCTCTACCTTCCCTCTTCGCCTATATCTGCT